GGAGGTTCTGGCCAAGACAATCAGGCAAGGAAATAATCGGTACTACAATTTTTTAAAAAACATTTATTTTTTAGTTATAGTTGGACACAAGACCTTTATTTTTTTTATTATTTTTTTTTCATTTATTTATTTTTTCTTAGTTCTTGGCGGACACAACATCTTCTTTGTATGTGGTGCTGAGGATCGAACCCGGGCCGCACGCACACCAGGCGAGCGCGCTACCACTTGAGCCACATCCCCAGCCCCAAGACCTTTATTTTATTTATTTATTTTGATGTGGTGCTGAGGATCGAACCCAGGGCCTCGCATATGCTGGGCCTGCGCTCTACGGCTGAGCCACAACCCCAGCCCCAATACTTCAATTTTTTTAAAAAATTAAAATAAAAATTAATAAGCATAGACAAAAAACTGCCATCCAGATCAGAAATTATGAAATAAAACTATAGTAGTAGATAAACACAATTTTCCATATAGAAAGTCCTTAGGTATCTACAGAAGAACTATTAAGATGATAAATGACTTCAGAAGGCACCAGTACGCAAAACCCAACTATATCCCTGTGCATTATCGTGATACAAAGAAAAAGAGTGTTCCTTGCACACAGCTCTGAGCTCCTCAGAATCTCTAGAGTCATTTGTATGTATACTAGTGAGATGGGGATGATGGGCATTTCCAGGGCAGAAACTGGTCACCAAACCACCAAGACATGACCACAGGGTGGGCCCTCAGCTCCACTTAATCATCCAGCCCTCTGCACGGAAGCCTCCACAAGACATGGCAGAACCTGGAGTGCTCCTGGGGTGGTGAGGACATGGTTCTGGACGTGGCCAGCTGGAGAGGGGTGCCCTATCCCCCAACACCCTGCTCTGTGCGTCTGTCTCCTCTTGGCTGTCCTGAGTCTACTCTTTAAAATGTCCCTACAACAGTAAGCAATCTGTGTTCCTGAGTTCCAAGAGCTTGTGAGCTGCTCTAGCAAATTATTAAATCTGGGGCTGGGGCTGGGGCTGGGGCTGAGTGGTAGAGCACTTGCCTAGCGTGCCTGAGGTACTGGGTTTGATTCCTGGCACTGCATATGATAACCACATAAAATAAAGGTATTGTGTCCATCTACAACTACAAAAATATTTTTTAAAAAATCTGGGGTACGGCTGTGGGAACCCCTGATGAAAGCCAAGTTGGACAGAAGTGTGGGTGTGAGCCA